CCGCCCCGTTTTTTTTTTTGCTTGGGGGGGACAAAAAGCCAGAGCCGGCCCTGGCTATGAGTTGAGCAGAGGTTTCACTCACCTTGATAAGTGTGTGGAATAAGCATTCCAGCTGCTACATCGCTCGTTGTGTTGGGAGTAAATTTGTCCGAAATTACAGTCACAGAGCACTTGGAGATAGATTCTGAAATGTACACTGCTGTTGAGAGGCCAATCAACCCAGCACCAACAACTGCAATCTTTTGTTTAGCCATATGCTAGGAGGACAGGGAGGAGGAGGGGAGAAAAGAATTCCAACAGGTTATTTAAGGTGCCACATCCAATGCAATTTTTTTAAAATCCTTTCTTATTAGTTCTGTGATCTATTGTAAACAAGAGACAGAAAATACAATAGGGCTGGATCCCACAAACCTTTACATTTGTGAGTACAGTAACTCCTCACTTACCATCCTCCCGCTCAACGTTGTTTCGAAGTTATGTCACTGCTCCATTAGGGAACATACTCATTTAAAGTTGTGCAATGCTCCCTTATAACGTCATTTGGCTGACTTTACAAGGGAGCATTGCACAAGTTCTTCTTCTCCGCCTCCTCCCCCTCCCTTCTTCCCAGTGCTTCCCCCGCTGCCAAACAGCTATTTGGTGGTGCTTAGGACTTTCTGGGAGGGAGGGTGGGAGGGAGCAAGTGAGCGGGGAAGCAGCCCTCCCCCCCGCAAGGCAAGCAGGGCCACCCAGAACACAGGGGCTTTAGAGGATGCAGGGCCCTGGGCTAAGGGGGCACCGGGGCCCTGGCCTGCAACTCTAAAGCCCCTTTCGGAATGTGGCCCTGCGAGCACGGACCAGAGAACTCAGGAGGAGCAGGGGCAGCCACGTAGCCAGCGGACAGAGAGAAGCGGTGCTTTCCCCTTCAAAGCCGGCCGGAGAGAAGCGGCGCTTTAAAGGGGAAAGCACCGCTTCTCTCTGGCTGCGCGGCTGCCCCGGCTCCTCCCGAGTCCTCCAGTCCGTGCTCGCAGGGCCACATTCCGAAAGGGGCTTTAGAGCTGCAGGCCTGGGCCCCGGGGCCCCCTTAGCCCAGGGCCCTGCAGCCCCTAAAGCCCCTGCATTCCGAGTGGCCCTGCCTGTGGGGAGGGGAGGGGGAGAGAGGTGGCAGCTCCCAGAATTGCAGCTCCCAGAATCGTAGCCATGGGGGCAGTGCTGCGCTGCGCAGAGTTACCTGCACACCCCCTGCACCAAACAGGAGCTGCCCCAGGTAAGTGCTCTGCACCTCCTGCCTGCCCCAGCCCTGAGCCTCCTCCCGCACCCGCACCCTGAGTGCTCTCCCGCACTCTAACTCCCTCCCAGACCCTGCACCCGACCCTGAGCGCCCTCCCACACCCTAACTCCCTTCCAGACCCTGCACCCCCAGCCCTGAGCCCCAGGGGCAAGGCAGGGGCACCTGCCCACCACAGTACAGTACAGTACTGTACAGTATATGATGCCTTTTGTCTGCCCCCAAAAAATTTCCTTGGAACCTAACCCCCCGCATTTACATTAAATCTTATGGGAAAATTGGATTAGTTTAACATCGTTTCACTTAAAGTTGCATTTTTCAGGAACATAACTACAATGTTAAGAGAGGAGTTACTGTAGTCCCACTAAAACAACAAGGAGTCTGGTGGCACCTTAAAGACTAACAGATTTATTTGGGCATAAGCTTTCGTGGGTAAAAACCTCACTTCTTCAGATGTCTCAGAGAATAGTTTACCTGCTGATTTTTGTCCCATAAAATAGACTTGACATTAAATGCAATGCATAGTTTTTCAGGGTATAGAATAACTGCTTCTATACTTCCAACCAAAAATTGTTTGCAGGGAGATGTTAATCCCTGTTGTCTTGATTATGCCTTGGGAGGGGTGTGGGGGGAGGAAGAGAAGGGCGTAAAATCCTTTTGTGCTTTGACATTGTTAAGAATGTATTTCTGGCCCTAGGGTTAGAGTGACAACAATGGCTCCAGTCCAATGCCTCCCTCCAACAAGGGTATGCATAAAAAGTCTGTGATCTAGGTCACAGATTAATGGGTCCTCCTCTGTATGTGAGGGTACAATCCTGAGCACCCACTGCTCCCATTGACCACAATAAGAATTGCAGGTGTTCAGGACACAGCATAAACCAAGGGTAAGTCTATCAAGCCAAGAGGACCTGATGCCCCTTGGGCAGTCTAAGCATATGCCCATTCCTTGCTCTGACTGTATTTTTAAGCTGTTTAGTGTCTTTGGAGCACTTACATGTACTTAATATTTAATTTACTTTTAGTTAATATTTACACATGAGAAGCAGGTTCTTTTCTTGCATGTTCTATTCAAGCTTCTGATCCTTGCACCTGGCAATCTAGTTTTTGGTGATGATTCCCCCAGTTTTACCCTCTATCGCAGTCTCAGGAGTTCATAGTTTGGCACCTCCTGTTAACAGTAACCCCTGAAGCTATCTGATGGATTTGATCAGATCTTTGGCTGAAGATCATAGTCCTTTGATATTGCTTTTCCATTCTGGAAAACAGTGCCTACAGTGTTGCGATCTAGGCTATAAAAAGGTCCAACGTTTCCATTTGTAAGTTAGGTATTAGGCATTGTTTATTTCTCTTGTTGATGCCAGTGTAGGTAACACAAATTGTGGGGGATTGGAAGGTCCTGCTTTTTTATTACATCACTGCTTATAACATCTTGGACAGCTCCCTGCTACCCAACATTAATTTTTAGTTACTTATAATGTTATATTTCTGTAGGGTCATGGTGCTCTTTTAGGGCCAGATAGTGCCTGGCTGTTGTGCAGGTTTGCAAGAGAGGAAGAAACCTTTACCACTTCAATTGCATCCTCTTTGAACAGTTACAATCCCAGCTCTCCTTCTCTGGGACTTGCTTGTGCTTCTTTCTTTATTTTTAATTCCCCACCCTAGTCAGCCAGAGGGAAGGTGGTAAACAGCACACTTAAAGACTTCATTTCTAGCAGTACATGGACCCAAAACAGAACCCCAGAGCTGAATCATCACTCCAACCCTAAATTTGGAAAAATTCTGAGATGGACAGAAGCTTTGCAACTCAGGACCATCTGCACATAGAAACTGCCAGGTTACCCGACCTGTACGAACCAGAGATGTTTGCAAAAGAGGAAAACGATTTAGTGAAAAATTGCAAAATTTCACCGTTGTTGCCATTTTTCAGGGTTTGAAATGGGTCCATTTTATATAACCATTTTTACTTTCTTATAGCCTCAGATGCCAGAATAAAGAGATTTAATGAGAATCTCAGCTTTCATTTTTATAAAGAGTAAGTTTCAGCCTTCACAGTTGGGGTGAAAAGCTTGTAAACAGGAAGTGAGCACCCCCCCAAAGGCTCGGAAACCAGAAATAAATTTTAAAAAATACAAATGTATTTTTTTAAAACTCTCTCATGTTTTTTAGCCAATATCCTGATCTCTTGGGGCATGACTCATGATTTTTTACTACTGAGGTTGACAATGCGGCAGGGGTCCTTATCCCTTGTTATCTTATAGGATCTCATGGCAGTCTTGGTAAGAGCGCTTTGTAGAATTCCATTTTGGCTAACTGAACACTGCTGACCTAAATTACAGCCTTTAAACTGTATACATTATTTTTTGTTTCTAGCCTTAAACAGCTGTGTAGCATAGCTGTGTGCTGCCAAATGGCTGCTGAGTTCCAGGATAGAGGTGACTATCTCAGTAATGGGTGAAATGATTAGTGTGTGCATGCACGTATACTGTATACATATCTACAAGGACTGAACTGGGTTGGCTTGCAGTGGTTTGGCAATCTAGTGTTGTAGTGGGGCAGCTGCCCCACTTCTGGGGAAAAGGAGTGAAAGCAGCTGAGGGTGTGACTGACCACAGGTGTGGCCAGCTCAATCAGGGCCCAGCTGGGCCTGATAAGAGGGCTGTGGGGTCAGGAGACAGAGGAGTCTCACTCTAGCCCTGGAGTGGGAAGGGCTAGCTGCCTGGAAACAAGGTACCTGAAGTGGAGCAGTGCTGGGGAAGGGCAAAGGGAGCTGGGGAGCTCCAGCCTGGTAAATCCCCAGGCTGCAGGCCATGTTGAAGGCCTACAAAAGGTACTGGGGCTGCAGAGGTGCAGCCCGGGGATAGGCAGAGGCAGCTGGTCCTACCCCCTTGCCAGTGATGAGTGGCTATTACAGACTGCAGTTTGCCCCAGTGAGCGGGGGCTAGATGATGACTGGCAGTAGCCACTGAGGCGAGGTGGGTTTAGAGGGTTGGGGGTTCCCCTGGGAGGGGAGACCCAGAGAGTGGGGGTACTGCTGGGGCAGAACCCCAAGGTAAAGGGAACAGACTAGACTTCCTCACACTAAGGGCAGGTGGTAGCAAGTTGCCTCACAACCCTGGGAACTGCTAGGAAGTGTCACACCAACCCCAAGCATTCACAAAGCATGAGTCAAGCCCCCAAATATGAGATTTGCTTTAAAAATAATGAGAGATAAAAAGCATGTCACAGTGGGGTTCTTTTTATTTGTCTTCTGGTCTCTGAGCCTTTAGGTTATGATCAGGTCACATTTTTCAAACTCTTCTCTTTTTACAAGGACGGGACTGGAATCTTACTTTAAAAAAAAAAAACAACAACAACCTCCAGCAGCTGGAGCTTTAAGAAAAATACCAACTATTGCAAGTCTCATGGTAATACTGTGAGAGCTGGCCACTGGCACTGACTTTCATTTTCCCAGGTGGGTGCTCTGCCCCCACTCTGCCCTGAGGTCCCGCCTCCACTTTACTCCTTCCCCCAAGGCTCCGTCCTTGCCCCGCCTCTTCCTGCCCCTGCTCCGCCCCCTCCCCCGAGTGCCTCCTGCCTGCTGCTGAGCAGCTGATTGGCAGGTGGGTGCTGAGCACCCACTTTTTTTGTGGGTACTCCAGCCCCAGAGCACCCACAAAGTCGGTGCCTATGGAGCTGGCAACACTGGGTATTAGTGAAGAGGAGAACATAGTCATTGGCATGTCTAACAAGGATTATAAAAGAACGTTACAGTGAATATCTAAGCTAACTCTGAAACAGGCAGGGTAACTAGAACCACAATCTGAGCTAGTGAAAATGCAAGTTACCCAGCAGGAGCGATGTGGAAACAAAAGACAAGAAAAAAATTCCCATGGAATAAAAGGAAGTGCCATAAAGAGGCATCTGAAGAGCAATGAGTTTCCTGAACAGAAGTGTGACAGGTCTGGCAAGGGATTACACACCACAGGCAAAGCACTCCCCTGCAGGCCCTGC